CTATTCTATTCTATTCTATTCTATTCTATTCTATTCTATTCTATTCTTATTGTACCCTATGACTATCATTAAGTGTTGGACCTGATGATTCTTCACTCTTGACAAATGTATCTCTTCTCTTATGTCCACCGAGAGCATTTGCACCAAGACAAATTCCTTGTGTGTCCAATCACACCTGGCCAATAAAGAATTCTATTCTTTAAAAAAAGAGCCATTTCATATAAGTTTATATGGATGCGTATTTTGTATGTAAAGCTGGTGAGCAACTTCCTTTTTTCTTTTTTAGAGTCACCTGTCTTTTGAAAAAGTCGTGCGTTGCAGAGATGTGGATTTTGCTGAATCTTGAGCAGAGTTCCTGACAGTCTAGTTATGGAAGAGAACTTTGGGGTTATGAGCCCTATTGGTAAGTTTCCCCGTTTTCTGAGGTTTTAAGAATCAGAATGCTTTGCACAATCTGCTTCATGACTCTGTATTTTTTTTTCTTTTGGTGTATCAAAAGATTATGTGGCATGGCTAATTAAAACATTTCTTTTTCCGATTAATGCAATTCTGCAGTCATCGGTTACAGTAATTGAAGGTCAGCCCCAAAGATTAAAAAGCACAATGCAGTGATTTATCAATGTTAGATTATTAAACCCTTAAGAAACAGTAAGAAGTATCATGAAATCCTAGAAATTGGGATTTAAGAAGCACTTTTTCTGACATTGCTGAATTGGCCAGAAATGATATGTTAAAGTAATGAAAATTTAATAGCTGATCAGCTGCTGTACTGAGGATGAGTCAGGGTGCTGCCGCTTTAAGAAGCTGTCTATATAAGGGAGGCCATGTGAGGGTTTCTCCTTCTATCTCCACTGTAGTTCTCATGTAGAGTTGAAGATTGCTTGCTTGTCTGGTATTTGCCTACCGTGTGTATGTATGTATGTATATAGTAGTCTTGTATATAAATCACTGTTAAAAAACAAAGCCTCTGTGTCCTGTGTTTTGTTCCTGGGCTGTCTCACAAATAGTAGCCAAGCTATAAACACTCTGACATGATACTACAATGAGGAATAGCTAGCTCCATTATTTGTAGTAAGAGTAAAAAAATAGAGGATACTGTAAAATTTGCCTGCCAAAATATAAAAACTCGAAAGATTGACTGTGTGACATCTTATAGTTATTCTGATGGTGGAATTATTACAGAATAATGACCCCTCGTCTTCGAAATAAAAAAGACAAAACAGTGGAAAGCTCAGATGGTAAGACAAATTTAAAATACAATTTTCCTGTTTTCGTTACAGAAGCTAGCCGTTCAGAGATGGAGAATAAAGCAGAACCGTGTGTTTTGGACACAGAAAAGAAGGGAGATGAAAAAAGGGAGCCTCACAGAAGGAAAACTTCTCCCTCTCTGGCCAAAAATCACCCTGGTCAGTTTGCCCGTGTGGGGAAAAACAAAGCGAATGAAAAGAATACCTTCCTTCAGCGCCAGAAAAGTTTCCATTCGGACTCCAACCTCATCACTCACTGCACCGGCTACGTCAAGGAGCAGCCGTTTAAATGCGAGAAGTGTGGAAGGACTTTCAGTTTGAACGCACACCTCAGCGCCCATCGACGGATGCACACGCAGGAGAAGCCCTATAAATGCGCCCAGTGTAGCAAGAGCTTTGATGCGATGACCAGCCTCACCTGTCACCAGAGGAGCCACACGGGGGAGAAACCCTATACGTGCTCCGAGTGTGGGAAGAGCTACACTTCCAGCACCAGCATGGCTTACCATCAAAGGACGCACACGGGGGAGAAGCCCTACAAGTGCTTGGAATGTGGCATCGGCTTCAGCCTGAGCACGAGCCTCATCTCTCACCAGCGCATCCACACGGG